TTGGGCGCCAGGCACTACTAATTAAGCAGGATTAATTCTTCAGGGGAGTGCCACCCTGAGTAGTAAGGGTGGGCGTTGGAATTTTCAACCCGCACTGTAAATAATTTTATAGAGAGTAATTTGGCATTTCGTCAGGCTAATCCCCTTGAACTATGAAGCTGACAAAATATTATTCTCGAATCAATAGGTGTACAGATTTGTTTATCCGCGATATTTATCCGCGGCTTAGCTCAATCGATGCTTGGTCGTGGCTTACCTTGATAGCAAGTAGTCGGATCAAAATCGGCTAGATGTTTACTAACTCCGCTGGTTCTCTGTCGAAGCTGGAGCGAAACCCAAGGTCGGATGGATAGAGGACAAGGCGGGAGGTTTAGAATATATCATACAGTTAGATTCAAAATTAATTGAGCCGATTTATTAAACAAAGAGATTGTGTAAATGTGAAGAGTAGATAACATACAATGACGATAGTATTTTGCGTAAATGTTAGTCTAAGGATATAGGCTCTTATCTTAAAACTATTAATAACAAAATAGACAAGATTTCGCAAAATAAAAATAGGCACGACGAGTTTTCGAACGCGAATGCGCTATTACGTACTCCTCCTCGCACTATTCATTAAGCCAGTTATTTCGCTGGTATACGGCACATTTATGCGGATCGAGATGAATAATGAAATGAAATTGGCAAAAGTCTGGGTAACGATAAGTCGTGCGGTACTCACTCTAATTTTATGTAAAGCTGGTATACGCTCAAAATAATCTCTTATCGCCAGTAATGCCTATTCCATCCAATAATGTGACAATTAATCTCAAAATTTAGGCACGGTGAGCACGAGCAAGCTATGGTGCACAGGCACTTGAACTTTGGAAAGTCACGAGGAAAAGATCTGCAAAATGATTCAAAGAGACAGAACTATACGTCTGTACTTGACTAAAGCCATCGGCAAACTCTCGCTAATTCTTCCCTCTCCACTTTCTCCTAGTCATGAATATTCATAGTCGAAATACAATTTGATTTCGATAATTTTCGCTCATGACGTTATCTTTCCCTATCGCATCGATCAAGATATTATTCTGTCTCTATCTACTAGGCAAGCCGAGTGTGATACGCCGTCCTTTTCTATCTATTAAGCTATCTCGTTCTTTTTGCATAGGCTTAGACGTAAGTGGGCGTGGCTAGCGTAGAATATGAATATGCATATCGAGCAGCATTTAAATTGAGACGAATATTAAAATGAATTTTATTAAATAATAGCGAGAGGTTAATTTGTATCTCTCGGTATATAAATTCGAGATAAATATCGAGACGATCTTTACATATTTTTGTTATCGATATTTTCGAGTATTATTGCGCATATTAATTAAATTAGGAAAGTTATCGCTGCTTTCCATAGGCAAAATTACAAAATATTTTCTGTGTGTAGGCAACATGAAGAAAATATCCGATACGCTTACGCAAGATTAAAATAATTATTTGAGGCATGGTATGTGCATTTTCGGACGTAGATCTTGGAGTTCCATATCGTGTACGTCCAGCATTTGATGACTCCTTATTTTTCTTGCATCATGTAGGCGTACATAGGATGGTTTTTCCTTTTTTAGCAGCGTTGATTATTTTCCTGTGCTTGAATTCATATATTGACTTTTCGGAGTAGTCAGTGGAAGAATAGCAGGTATTAGTAGTTAGTAAATTTGTAACGCTGGTGCTCATCGCGTAACAGCATATGAAAAAAAATTAAAATAAATAGTTGTTAGTTGTAAATTATTTTACAATTCGCTGTGCTAGTGCAATTCGGAGTACGGAGAGCTGTCGTTGGCTTTTTGGACCATTCTGCAGTTATTTAAAAGGCTCTTAATCGAGCGACCAGTTACAATATATTTTTTTAATTTTCTTTATCTTCGAGGTCCAATGGTTTGTTAATTTATAATATTTCTAATCGTGTTAGGTACAATTTTTTTTGTTTGGCAAAGTCAAAATAATGATGCTCTAGACTTTCAAGAAGCTCGAAAGTTCACAGAGAAAGAGTAACATAAAATTATTTGATTAAACAAAAAAGTAGTTTTTAACCTGATTCTATTTTCTATAACTTTTTTTTTGAATTTCAAATTGGTTAAAAATATAACTGATAGTGAGTATACTTTAAATCTCAAGAAACAAATTTACGTACATAATATTTTTTTGTGTATCTTCCGATTTACATTCTATCTTTACCTGTAATGAATGTATATTCGCGCATGAGGTTAGTCATGAAACAAAGGTCTTACCCTATATAACTTTCAACGGAGAACTCTGATTTAATCTTGAACCTCATTTTCAAGGTTATTTCAAGGTCAAGCTCATTTTTTTATATGGGAACCCCTACTTTTCATACTGGAATCAAAAAGAGCGATAAATTTTACGGGTGAGAACGATTCAAATATAGCGTGACCTCTAATCTTCCTTGAAACCATGTATTTTCAAAATCATCACATCTTAACGCCTGGATAGCTGAAACAATCTGATTTCACAAAAGTTACAGCGTTCAAATTTCCTGTGATAAAAAAGGGACCTATTATTATATTGCCTACTATTTATGCCCACACGTTTAATTTTTGAGGATACTGAGTGTGACTTTCTCTCATCCAATGAGCTTTTTGTTGAACCAATATCTAAGGTTATGGCGATTGACTTCACCAATTAATTGACATATAGCTTTATCTGAGAAAACAAAATCTTTTTAAAAATATGAAAACAGGGTTGATTTTTGCTAGAAAATGAATAAAAAGCAATTAGAAGATTTGTCTTTCTCGTATTTTTTTAGAATTTTGAAAAAAGAAGACAACTCTTTTTTCACACTGCACAGTTTAACTGGATCTCATTTTTTTCGTAGTATTCATCTTACATTTTAGAAAATAGAAAGTCACTACTTTGAGCATAAAATATCATGATAATTGTCAAAAACTGGAAAGTCACGTTTTTTTTCGTCAAAAGTTACGCTTTCTCCTCTTTCATGGGCTGTAAAGCTAATTGTTTATTAGAAATACAAGATTATTTTGAAGGCATTTGAAAGAAGTGAAAATTTAAAAATAAAATAGAAATGCTTTTACAAATATTAATTAAAAAATTGTTTTTATTTAGATTTTATTTATTCTTGACTTTTACTAATTGGAAGTTGAAACCATATTTTGTTGTTTTCATAGTAAATAGGCCCTAGAAAAAAAAATACTTGACCAATAAAAAAAAACAAATTCGACAAATTCGTCAAATATTTCATAGTTTTTTCTTAGTTACAATAACAATATTAAATTTTTGTTTTATTCAAACTTTTAAAATGTATCGTTTGTCCGAAAAAGAACGAATATTTCTTCTAATGATGATGGGTTGGAGTGATCAGCAAAGGTCGTATATTAATGTTGTTAATCTCTTTGATAGAACGTTTCGAAACGACGATAGCGAAACTCCTTCGTCTAAATCCAGAATTTTAAAAACCTTAAGATGTTTTCAAGAAACGGGGTCTATTTAAAATCGTTCTGTTACTGGAAGATCACGAACAGCAACAAATGAAGAAAAACCTTTAGATGTTTTACTGTCTTTTATAGAAAATCCACATGATTCGTTTCGATCAGTAGCTTTACAACAGGAGATCGAACAAAAACCTGTTCTTAAAATTATTAAAGGTCAACAAGTTTCATCCTTATAAAATGAAACTTGTGCAGGAATTGAATGAGGATGATCCTGATCGTCGAGTAGAATTTTGTGAGACAATGATGCAAATGATTATTGAAAATCCAATATGTTTACAAAATATTGTTTTTTCAAACGAAGCGACATTTTAACTAAATGGCGAAGTCAATCGTCATAACTTTAGATATTGATCCAACACAAATTCTCATTGGATAAGAGAAAGTTACACTCAATATCCTAAAAAATTAAACGTGTAGGCAGGAATCGTAGGCAATACAATAATAGGTCCCTTTTTTATCGAAGAAAATTTGAACGCTGTAAGTTATGAACAACTTTTGCGAAATCAGCCTTAAGAGGTGATGATTTTGGAAATACATGGTTTTAGCAAGATGATGCTCCAGCTCATTACGGTGTACATGTCAGACAATACCTCAATAAAACATTTTTTGATAGATGGCTAGGTAGAAGAGGTACAGTAGAGTGCGCTCCAAGATCTCCAGATTTCAGCCCTTTCGACTATTTTTTGTGGGGGTATTTAAAAGATCGGTATACAGAAGTAATCCACAAAATCTTGAAGAATTAAGACGTAGAATAGTTCAAGAAATTAATGCCATTCCACGGCATATGATCCAAAATGCAACTTAATCATTCTATAATAGGATTGGTTACTGTCAAGAAGCGAATGGAGAACAATTTGAACATCTGTTGTAAATTCATTTACGTGGAAGGCAAGGAAAACTCACTATTAAAAAGCACCTCGAAGTAAGAGGCAAGGGGAACTCACTATTAAAAAGCACCCCGAAGTGAGAGGCAAGGGGAACTCACTATTAAAAAGCACCCCGAAGTGAGAGGCAAGGGGAACTCACTATTAAAAAGCACCTCGTAGTGAGAGGCAAGTGGAACTCACTATAAAAAAGTACCCCGAAGGGAACAGATTCCTTCTACGTCCACGTCGTTGTTCCTGGATAGCGCTAAATGGAGGATTAGGAGTTACGATATCTTCGGACTGAAATCGTTCCCAGCCGTAAAATTTATCGCTCTTTTTGATTCTAGTATAAAAAAAAGGGGTTTCTATATGAAAAAATGAGGTTGACCTTGAAATAGCCTTGAAAATGAGGTTCAAGGTCAAATCAGAGGTCACCGTTGGGTTCCTCTTTGAAAGTTATATAGGGTATGACCTTTGTTTCATGACTAACCTCATGCGGTTTTCCGAATTTTCCGGGGTTTCCATACTTTTTCCTCATCTTGTATATCGATTATGTTATATATATTATGTAACATAGGTAAGTAAGAGGATTTATTTTTCTAACTATCACAAAATCAGAAATACTTACTTGAAAACTTCATAAGAACAGATTTTCTGTCAAAAAGATTGGGATTAAAAGCTGGCCAATAATAGAACAATAACTTTGTAGCAGAGGCTCGAGCATATATTGTACCATATGCAATCACACATAATAAATCTTTTATAATTCCAGATTTGTAAGTCATAAGACATTCGAGTAATTGGCAATGGTGAGCTGTCAACAAATATGATGTGTTAGATTTTAAATTAGTGTATAGCACATTGTATATTGTCACTTTTTTTAACACATTTAAAAAAATATATATAATCTCATACAAATAAGTTCTAGAAACAAGTGGCTATTTTCAAATCTCTAAAGTTTTTAATAGCAAACATGTCTATACATTTGTTTGTAACAAAACTCTTACTTTGTTATCTACTTTTAACTACGGGGAAGGCAAGAAAGGTACTTCCACTCTCAACGATGGAGGACAGGTCAATAAATAATGAAGTACAGTCATTTGAAATGGAATACTAAACTTATTAATGGTAAATCAGAATAGAACAACTTGCAAAACTTATTCTAATCTATAACATGTCAACAATGAACATTTTGACAAATTAAACCATTACCGCGTGAAAATGTGAACTACCTGATAAGAGAATGCTTTGAAAATTCGCGTGCTTATAAAGAGTCGCTGCCCATATAAACTAAAATATTACTAAGAAAAGGTAGCCGGTAAGTAATCACCCGGCTACATGTACCGATTCTATACAGTTACGAATTTTCAAGAGAGAGGACAATACCAAACAGAGAGAGAGAGAGAGAGACAGAGATAACCTGACCCTTTCTTCTTTTATTATGTCGAACGATGCAGCAATGGCTGCGTTCGGCTGGTTGTACTCGCCGATATCTCTGATTCGGTCTTTTTTTACTGTGGCCTCTACTTTGTGTAGACTTCGTGAACGGGCAAGGACTCCTCTCGCATTGTCTTGTGCAGAAAAAGGGTGCTTGTCGCCTCAACGTTCACTGACCTTCCAGATCATCTCGACCGCAGATTCTCTTTCTTGAGTCTCCATAATTAGCGGGTAGGAGAAGTCACTCTCTCTTAACGGGCCAGAGAGACCTCTCCTGATTCAAATGAAAGACTGCCCGCCGCGGCCTTATCGCCATTACCGGCTTGCTCTCTCTCTCTCTCTCTCTCTCTCTTGCTTGCTCCCTCTTTTTTCCTCTTCCTTGCAATGTTCTCTTTCAGCCCTCCTTGATCTCACTTGGCAATCATCGGTAGCTGAATCAAGACCACTAGTTAGACGTATTTTTAATATGCGCCCAATTGTGACCATCATACCTTGCCGAGAGTAGAGGGGATCAAGGGAAAGCAGACGAAGGGCAAGCAAACTACTTGCCCTCGTTACACCCCCTTCCAAGGCTAAAGTTCGCTCTGCAAATGTCCTGACTCTATCTCTCTCGTAGTTTCTTTTTCTCTTTCGATCAGTAACAGGCAACCAACGCAAGACGCTAGCTAACAACAATAATACTTAAATAGTTATCTTAAAATGATCCGGTTCTTACCAAATTAGATTTAAGTTCTAATATAAGTTCTAATACTAAGGACAAACTACTTGCAATCTCTGAACCTGAAATTTATTCAGAATCTCTCAGATTCTTCCAATTTTTAAATTTAACTTAAGAAAATTTAAACAATACGAATCAAAATACAAAATCAGACCACTTTTCCCGGCCGAGGAAACAGTAATCATGCGTGTCAAATTGCCACCATTAATGGCATAGATTAAACACAAAAGACAAAATAAAAGAAATTTTACTCATTATCGTTGCTGCTCCACTGATTTCAAATATCGAAGCCTGAGCGTACGAAGTTTCGCCGTCGTTGGAGATGAAGCGTTATCGCCGGAGTAACACCCCAGCCAACGCAGCTCTCATTAGTTGTGCAGCTTGGAATTTTGTCAGCTCCTGGAGATGGCCCTAAGTATCTCTGTCCGATACCATTCTTACATTCGCTACATCGGTCGTATAGGCATCACGGCAATGTGGGCAATAGTGAACAGTCGATGTGATATAATTCTTACAGACCTTACGAAAAAGGAGCGGATTTGTGGGTGCGCCCCTGTTTTGTAGTTAAAGCAGCCGAGTGAAGGTAGATTCAAATTCTGATCCCTTAGAATTGAAGCCAGTCCGTGGAGGAAGGATCCCCTCACCAACCTTATGCTTGTCTCATCAACCCAGCACGGAATCCAGGAGTGTGAGGCTGTGCCTGCCGCTTGGAGAGATGGGGCAGGTTGAACCGGAAAAAGAGCTGGTCGCTGCGGAGCAATCGGTTCCTTTCTGTATAAATATATTATAACACATTATAGTCCTTATGTAGCTGTTTCTTATGCTAATTTTTAAAGATCTTTTTGGTATTTATTTTTCAAGGTTTCAGCAAAATATGTAGGAACTGTTTACTTTCCAATTTTTATATCAAAATTATTAATCAAGTAAAAAGTTTATGCAAGGTTTCTTAAATATACGTTGTAACGGGGGGGGGATCTTGCAAAAATGAGAAATTTATTTATAAGCAAACTCCCACGATGCAGAGCAAACCGCCGCTCCGTTAATCACGTATGTAAGTACGTGTATCCGCTTTAACGTCAGATGATTTCTTTTTGTTGTCTTCTATCAAACGGAGTTGAACTCACCTTAAGTCACATGTATCGTGACACACGATGAGTTTGAAGTGTGAGCGACTTTACTCCTTCTCCGCTTAATCCCCTAGGCGTAATAGGATTAACACCTAAGCCTATTTCAATTTCTTAAACTATTAGGAAAATCATATGACGAAATCGGCGAATAAGTTAACAAAGTTTATTCATAAAAAATCTATACAGTCTTTGTTGGGCCGAAAGACTGACGCACGCGAATAGGATTTACAATTAAATAATTTTCCGGTGAGAAAGAGAGAGAGAGAAGATTCGAATATTGGCGCGATCTAACGCTCGGCGCGAATACAAAAAAATTAACGCTAAACGGTTGAACAAAATACTTAATATATTTTGTCTCGCGATAATTAAGGGAGGTGCACCTACCCTGCGGTGCAATTACGGTGATCAGCCGTAATTGTTGATGCCAATAAAATGTATCAACTGCCTCCGGAACTGTTATATCAGCTGCGCTATCTCGTACCGCCTATCAGCTGCAAATATGCTGCTACCGTGATGCTGTAATCTGCCGATCACGTTGTTGCACTCGCGCGCGTAATTACTCTGGATAAAACTATCACTCGGCGAGAAAACAGTGCAAACAAAATTCCGGCGATATCCTCTCGTATCAACAGCTGAGGCGTAACTGCTAATTTGAAAGATCGCGCGCCCCCTCTCTCTCTCAATACTTAGAACTAACGCGCGAAATTCAGAATCACGAACGGTGCGATTAATTGAATCGACTACCGTTGCAGCCCCCTCCAAGTCCTGACTACCCGGGCAGGACGAATACCCGCGATTCGCCGCCATCAGGAACCTGAAAATAATAAAGAAGGAAAGGAATTAAATAAATAACTCTCTTTATTTATTTCCTCTTTATTATTGGCCCACCAGGGCATATATCATCGTTTGGCTACACCTGGCGCGCGATGTTTCGGGTAGCGCCAGTGTGTAGCCTTCTTCGGGCACCGCTGGGAGTTGGTCACCCCAGGCTCCCCACAGATGTAGCAGCCCCTCAGCTGCGACCGAGATTGAGCAGCCTCCCGATCTTGTGATGGCTGCTCAGCAGCCAGAGGGAACTGCGGGGCACTGACTCCCTGGGAGGCGGTAATGGTCACGCCTCCCACCGTGGCGGTCGCACGTCCATCCTGTGACCTGACCACGATTGTGGTATCAGAAGCCATGCGCCCGTCCACGTGGACCGTGAGCATTGGTCCAGCGTCAGTAGCTCCCGGGGCTCTCTTCTCTTGAGCCGGCGCCGGGAGCGCTGCGGAGGACTCTTGTCCGTTATCCACCCGCAGCAGGGCCTCTCCGTAGGCCCTCTGACGCTGAGCCATCCCTGCCCACTCCCCGAGCAGCTCTTCTGCGCCCTGGCGGCTCAAAAAGCGTCTCAGGTGCTCCTGCACCTGAGACTGGAGTTCTTGAGTGAACCGCCAGGCACTCTCCACCTCGTTGATCCCCAGACGCACGTGTCTGAAGTCGAGGAGGAGAGTAGGTTGCTCAGGGATCCGGGGATGATTGCAGACCCAGTGCGAGGCCCCACAGGTTTCCCTGGGTCCTGGGCATTGACTCGCACTGTCCGACGTCTGGGGTATGCCGGACTTGAGGGTCTGCACCCCCTGATCCACGGTGGACTTGGAACGTTCGACACTGTCCTGGTCCTCGGTCTGTGTCGAAGCGTCCCGGGAAGCCTTCTTCGGGGGGACCCACGATGAGTCCCGGAGAACCTCGGCCACCGAGGCATTGCGGCGCTCCCTTCGGGTGGTCCCTTCCAACTGGACCCTGGCGAAGCTACGTAGATCTTCAATTAGCTGCGTCGCATCAGAGCCCAACTGCAGATCTAACAACATCTGCGTGACCACCTCAAAGGTCTCCTCCTCGACGACGATTCTCCGGTCCATCTGAAACATCCAAAACAAATGATCTCGGATGAATTTCCCTGCGCGAAGAAAACCCTATGATGAACCGCATCCCACCGAGTTATACGTTCCCTCGCTATTATTTGCGTAAACGTCCTGGTCCTCGTCGGTTACCGCTCGGATTTATCGGCCCAACCGTCCTTTGTACGACGGGCACGGTCTTTCGAGGTCTACCTCTCCCTCTATTTTCCTTCACGGGAGAGTTGTTATCCCTTACTGGACCGGTGACCGTCGCCGGGACCTTTCGTGGTCGACCTCGACCTCTCTTGGTTGGGGCAGATACCGGTAAATCCGACGTCTCGGTGGGATCTTTATCTACGACCGTGAGGGCTGCTAATTCGATCCGCTCGCTATCCGATAAATCCCCTCCCGGATTTTCGTATACATTCGCGGAATCGTTCGCTTCCTCCTGCGTCTGTTCATTTCTCGGTTCGCGAGGTTCGATGACCTCCTCGCTTTCCACATCCTCACCCGGACCGTAATACGGTTTAAGGTCCTTGGCATGGAAGAGTTCGGACAGGATCTCCAGCTGATTGCCTAGTCTGTACGTGTTGGAACCACAAACTTCTTCAATCACGTACGGGCCGGCATACTTCGGCGATAATTTAGCTGAAAT